CCCCAAAACCCCAAAACCCCAAAACCCCGAAAGTAAATACATACAAATGAAAAATAAGTGTAATTTACTTAGAAATTTAGATTTAAGATAACTTTTGAAATCTCACATTTGTATAATTTGAATGGAATGCAAATTAATTGAAAGATAAATATCATTTTTTTCTCTCAAAAAGTCGGATCTTAGATGGAACAAAAAAATTAAGGCAATAAGTAAGCGGGCATATCTCCATCTAGCTTAAATTCGACGCTGACCTTTAGAGTGGGTAGGGTGCTTTAAGCCCTCGCATAAATGGGTGATCAATTACAGATACCTTAGATTGTTTCATCCTTTCACAGCACATAGCCATCTCATATCCCGGTGTATGCTTATTACGTCTATGTTTCAATAAACTCTGGACTCTCAGATAACCAAGCCATTATAAATCTTGTGCTTATTGAGAGATTTGTAAATATGGCCTAAAGAAACGGAGCTACGATAATTATAAACTCACTAACGATTCACCGGTAAGTTTAATTGAAATGAATCAATCAATCATAATCTCATACTTCAGCTCTTTCGATTATTATTCTTTATTTTCTTTATCTTATCTTCTTAATTCTATTCACTCGCTTTCATCACAAGTTTCTATCTATTTTCTATAGATTAATTTTGGCGTCAGTTCTAATTACCTCCAAGTTCTATAATGATATATTCTTTGGGAATCAGCACGTTGCGTACATAGGCGGAGTCAACACAAATGAAATAAATATTCTTGAAGCTGAGTTTCTAAAGACGATTGAATGGAGAGTATGGGTTGATCCCTCTGACTACGATTATTACTAAGGAGGAGTACAACAGCACTTCTAGGCTCTTGAGTAAACACATGCTAGTCAGTGAGAATTGACTAGTGATAGCTAAACTAAAGGGGCTCAGGAACCGAGTTACTAGGCATTAGGAGATGCCAGTTAATTTTTCAACTACTTAAATTCAGAATGAGCACTCAACGTATCTTTGAGTTTTTGACCCCTCTTATCTATATAAGCTACTATATATACGTTTCCTTTTGTAAGAAAATATTAACTCTCTACTATCGATTTCTTTAATTGCTCTTCCGTTTGTTCATAGTTATAGTTAGTTAAATTTACTCAACTTTCGAAACAATTTAAATATCAGGTCAACTAGCCATATTTTAAAGTTAATTTTGTTAAGTCTATGAATATTACTTTGCTATAATTTCGTCATTATTTCTGACTATAATATGATTTTTGATAAGAAGTTGTCTTAAATTAGCTGATATTTATCCATGACTAATGACTACTTTATCCCTTACTTTCCCCCAACAGAAATAATTTACCTTAATACATTTACTACTCTTATCATTAACATTTGGAACAATAGCTAATTTTTCTGTTCTATAATAGTTTAGATTCTCCTCATAAAGTCTTATCGTTTCAATTGGTTATCGTTTCTTTTCAATCATGTCTATGTTTATATAGAAATCCCCAAGTTTAGCCATCTATGTTACTAAAGTATACTAACTGCAATAAATCTTCTCCCCCTTAACTTAAATTACAGGTATTTTATATTATATATTGGGTTTAGGGTGGCTCAAGTATTAGTCAGACACTTAATAGCGGAGTGGAATCAGAATTAAAATCTGCCATGATGAACTAATATCATTTTAAGTAAAGTCTTATGAGTTTCATTTCGAATGACTTAAAAATACCCTTCAATCAATAATTATCTGTCATGTTTCTGAAAAGTATTGGTATCAGATCTAGTATTTTTGCCATTAATTTACTATAATCTTAATGTTAAATAGTTTTTTCTCAAAAAAATGTCATTTATCTGGCAGACTGGGGTTTTGGGGTTTTGGGGTTTTGGGGAGCCTACTTAACAATACTTTCCCTATATT